GACCCATCAGCCAGATCTTGCAAGTTCAAAATCGTCCTTATGTGGGCGCCCTTACATTAAAGATAACTATCGGCCTATTCGAAAGAGGCTAGCTTAAAATGCAAATACATGTTAAGGAATCTTGGTGCGAAGTTGGAAGTGTTAGAACGCAAGGCAGAAATTGGACACCAAATAGAATGGTCTCGAACGATTTGCTTAATATAATGCGTCTACTCTTGGACGCAAAATAACAGATACGAAGAGAAACTGGGTTTCGATGAATCTCCTGAGCTAACATTGTTGGAAAGACTTTCATTTCGTATGAGAGCGCATGAGGAAGAGATTCGTTGGTCGATCTCACCAGATGAGGACGGATGAATCCCGTTGTACTGCAACCGTTTGGCTTTTATATGACGTTCAGGTTGACGCAGTCCACGAGATCTCCTACCTCGTTTCGTGTGTGTGAGCTTTCGTCCATCATATGATGGGCATCATCAGAGTTTTGTCTACTTCCAGTAAAAGTCTCGCGTCAACACAAGGGCAAGAAGACTATCCGGTTCTATCTTACCTCTTATATAGACTCAATTAAGCCAAAATAAAATTGGAGACCTAGATAGATAGATATAGAGTGGTTTGGCTAATTATCTTTCATACTAGTCATGCTACTTTTGCTCGAGTGTGTATGTGTTAACGTTTATACGCAATACCGGTACTAAATCAGAGTTGTCAAAGGCTAAGGTCAGGCTCTGAGTAGCTAGGCCTAATGACCCAAGAGAAAGACTTGAACGGGTCTGCGTAAGTCCGTGAGCAAATATGGTTAAGAAAATAAGATATGAGCTTGTAAGCATGTAAGTCAAGTTACGAAACCACTTGTCCTAACCTCTCAGTCTAGGATCAATAATGTTTAACCCCCCAATAAAAGGCACGACTGGGACTGCTAATCTGACACGTCTGGTTTGGTTGATGAGCTTAATCTAACAGTGCACCAACCTGAACATTGTATAAAAGCCAAACGGCTGCAGTACAATGGAATTTATCCGTCCTCATCTGGTGAGATCGACCAACTAATCTCTTCTTCATCCACTTTCATACGAAATGAAAGCCCCCCCAGCAAAATAACAGGCCTTGCAAATCAATATATTAGGGAATAAGTTGGAGATAACAGGTTTAATGGGAATCACATTAACAGATTTGAGTAAAGGAGGTTTAGCTACCAACTAAAAGGAGACTAATAAACTCGGTGCAAGTTATAATCATATTCACACTCGCTCAGCATCTCTGTAGAGCTCACCATTCCAACCAAATATTCGTGATTACGTAATCCCAATCAAGCTTTTTTTCTTGGGTCATTAAACCTTGATGACCATAAACTGACGAGTCTTTATGACGGCCTCATTTGTAGTAAAAAGTAGAGGATGTGCTGTCTAATTTCATCCCGTCCCCAAAACCATTTTCGGAACTCGAGACAGCGCTACAAGCAATAATAATGTAAATGTAAAACAAGTTGTCCCTTGTAGAAGCATATATCAAGTGGAATCAGAGCTAGTTGGGATACATTCAATCCTGTTATGTCGTTTAGCCTTTTTATTAAACATTATTGTGAGACTGCGAAATTGTTATGCTAACCAAAAGATGCAATGTGATGCGGGTTAAAGTAGGAGGTCCAGTTTAAAGATCACCTTTCTAAGGGCTGAGTCAGATTTAGTATTTTTTGAAGGAGCTGGATTAGCAACAGGAAGCGTATACCGATGTCCTACAGGCCGAATGGGAGAATCCGAAGAAGAGGAGGCTTCATCATCTCCGAAAGCCAGGCCACGCTGTTCGCGTAAACGTCGGCGCTTTTCGCGCGACTTTGCCTTGCTGTCCACCCGTTTGACCGTAGGAGATGGCTCATCACGATGGTGTTGATGCCTTTGGTGCATCGGGACAGGGACAGGAGATTTAACGGAGCGCTTTCCCTTGACAAACTGATGGTGGAGTTAGGAGTTGAAAAAAAAAAAAAAGAACGATAAATGGGATCATGGCGATATGGACAGGATCCCCAAGCATACTATTCTCATAGAGATAATAAAACGGCGAAAAGAGTAGACCAGTAGGCATGCGAACAACCAATACGTGCCTAATATGCAAAAATTTACAAGTAAAAACCATTTAACCACCACATTTCACATGAGGACAAAGGCCCGAAATAATAGCTGAGTAAAGAAAATGATCTGACCTCGTTTTCGCAGCCTGGTCTTATTTTCAGAAACCTAGATGAACGCATCTTATTCGGATTCCTCGGCTATAGTATCCATGACGATCTCTAGTGTCGAAACCGTGAACATGCTGCACTCCAAACAACTCGAAATAGACTTATCTCTAAGAGTAGCAACTCTTAATGGCGATTCCGACTACGATGCTAGGGTACAGTGTAAGACTATACCAGGTCCACGCTACGGCATTGGAAACTGATATTGTATGGCAGAGGACTTCGGGCAATACGACCAAGTTGCGAAAAAGAGGCAGAACTGCTTCTATACAACAAGGGGAGACTGTGACTATAGTAAAGGCTAAGGCATCTTGGTCTTCACACCGATTAAATATCTAATTGAAACCAGTACTATAACCGGAAGAGTAAATATGATAGTCTTAATAGACATGATGGGGAGTTGACAATTGGCGAATTTTACAAAGCTGTATATATGGCAGGCTGTTAATTTAGTAGTCAAGAGGCCTATATCGGTAAAACAGCACCACGAGGTTTTTAAATTATAAATAACGACAAATCGGAGATAGAAGCTGCTTACATTTACCGTAACAGTGGATGCCCATAAAGGACAGACTTGAGTGTGCATAGCCACAGGAAGCATAACCGAAGCGGTGCCCATTCATAGCTGAATACATTAAATCCTGATTTGTGCTATTGATTTATGTAACGTTAGTAGGAAAGTCAGAACGACTCAAGCAATGCCATTAATGGGTGCTAAGCAAGGATCCAGGACGGCTTATTGTAAATTATGGTTTATCACCCTGAAGACGCCTGTCACGTAACGGACGAAGGCTTAGCACGGATTTCTCCGAGTCACAAGCTGGTGAACGGGGACTTCTTAGCACAATCAAACGATCTCCACTTCGGCTTCCGGTGAAGCCAATCCACGAAGCTATTCCAATGAACTTTTCATTCGAAATGGAAAGCCGACCTACATTAATAAATAAAATCATTTACAAATATTAATCTCTACAAGCTGAGCTGATAAACCTCTAACATCTTAAACGACAATTGGCCAGTGATGTTGCCTCATTCTTAGAAAAAGATTTCTTAACAGCTTGTGAAATTAAATAACCAAATCAACAAAAAAACTCACCAAGCACAAATATTAATGTAATTTTACAAATCATAAAGGATTACTTGTGATACCGTAACTTAGACATAGGGGGAAATTAAATGATGCAGAGAATCGGAAATAAATGTAGATCTCATCCAATTCATCGTTAAAATGTTCTTACCTCGGTCGTTCTCTCTGCCGGCATGGGGTCGGAGACCAGAACATCTTGACGGCCCTCCTCACTACTGCTGCTGGAGACATCAGGTAGCACGTTTGCGAGACTAGTGAGCTGCTTATGTAACGAGGTCCCCGCAGTGATAGCGCGCGACTTATCCTGGGATTCGAGCAAAGATGACTGGGTTGAAAGTCTAGCGTCATCGATACCTCTCATGTCAGTAGGGCTATCAGTCCCGGCGACCGTATGTAAATGTGAGGGCGAAGCGTGAGCGTTAGAGGCTTGGTGTAGAGGCTTGAGAATTAGGTGGCTAGAGGGAGTGGTGGCCTGCAGCGAAGAGGTCGACTTACGATGAGAACGAGAAGAGGCACTGGCCAAGGAACGGGACGACTTGCTGTCACATGGCAACCGATTGTCAAAGCATGGACGGTCAGGCATCGCAGCAGGAGATCCAGCGGACTGAAATGCAAAGAGAAATGGATATAAAGGGACTCTGAGGCAAATTAATCAATCTGAATATAAGTTAAAATAGACCGTAACTAGGGGTAGGATCTGATTTATTCTATGTAATGATGCCAGAATCCCAAAAAGATGGATAACTTTATTGACAAATTTACGAAGTAATTTGCCTTAGTTCGGTGATTTGATTAACTAGGTTTTATTAATCAATTACAGTATTGGTCATTAATCACGGCAATTTAATCGCTGCTTTCCAAGAACCCATTAAAACCAACTGAAGTCAGGCAATGAATAAAAGATAGGGTCAATGAGTGAAAAGATTTTTGCTTTGGAAGACAGTTCTGATTCACCGTAAGATATCGGGCAAATATAGTTATGAAAAGTCAAAATGGCTGGGTAAAAATCATTTGTCCCTTGTATCGCTCGGATCATAATACAAACACACCTAGAAATATTCATACCAGGTTTTCGCAACTTTGTCGTCCTACCAAGGTAATTAGATGAACACACTTTATCAGAGTTTATGCCACATAGTTTGACGGTAGGTGATCCCAGACTTTTCGCCGGCATCCTCAATGAGTCCCGCAAGCCTTGGTACCAAGCTAAAATGAGTCAGAGACAAGTGAAATCTGTCCCCTTGTCAGCTTTCCTTTCAACGATTGTGGTATCTCTCTTTGCGCCTTGACACTCATGAACTCTGAAAGTTGGGACGATTCAGAATGACCTTAAACACGACTAATAAACTTGAAGATAAGGACAAGGTGAGTCCTGGAGGAGTTAAATACGATAGGGGATAGTTAGATATGCTGAGATAGCTGGAGAGAAATTTGGCCAGGGAATGAACTTCACTTACCTAATTGACTAGTCGTCATACCAACCAAGTCTGAGAATGTCTATGGTTTGAAACTAGAAAGTATCAGGACTCTTAAAGCAGAGGACTTAGGATAGGGTTTATTTATTTAGGTCACTCTTAGAGCTCACGAAAACTCGGTAAACCACTTCAATAGAGATAAGGGAGACTGAGACCAAAATAGAGCCCACACCATCTTGACTTTGAGCAAGCATTACTAAGCTGAACATATCAACTAGCTTAATAGTCTAAGTAATAATAATGAATATCAAACAGTTGTACACGGCAGTAGATCAGTAGCGTGTTTAAATCTTAATCCCAAATAGGCCAGGAGAAAATATTGATCTTGGAAGT